AGGGTACTTAGTTTGATGACGGTGATGGAGCATATTGTTGATGTCATGTACAGTGGTATAGCTTGCAATGGGATGATATTTATTGGCCCTTGAATATTGGCACTGGAATTGGCCATTGTTTCTAACATTCACAATGACTAAATGTTAATAAAATCTTTTTCATTTATATTTTTACCATATAGTCGTGTTACAACATGACACCATTGTCGTATTACATACTATCTTGCTTGAGAAAGTATCGGGCATCTGGCTGTGGAAGATAAAATAATGTTTTGCAAGTATCTAAGTAGTCTAATAGGTTTCAACCATCCAAATACAAACTATTTTGGATTTCAATGTAAAAACTTAATTCCAATACAAAGTACCTAGAAACACTATTTTTAATAACTTTAAGATATTACAAGCACAAATTCTTTTGTTATTTGTAAGTTTTATTTTATTTTATTTTATTTTTTTAGTATTATTTTCTTTTTTTTATTCTTTTTTTTAATCCTAATCCTAGATAGCGAGCTTTGGAAAGCTAGAATTTCCAATCTGACCATTTGATTGTTGTAAACTTCTTTGACTAATATCTTTGCAAGTCTTCTAAATGCTTAAAAATTTTCAAACCAATCCAACTTCCAAATTTCAAGAAAATACTGTAAATCCACATTGATGTCCCTTGATCGCCGCCTAGTAAGTTAATGACAACCTTTGAATTGTAATTTCTCCTTCTCTAATCGTTAATTCTCATTCAACTTTATGTGCAGTCCTACCTTTAAGTCCTCAACTTACTATGCTAAAATTCTCCTTATTCTAGCTGATAGATCTCCAGATATTGCAGAAACCCTAAACAACTCCAATCTGCCAACTTTTAATACCTCTTTACACTAATGATCAAATATACTCTATCCATATCGTTAGATTAATACAAATTATTCATGCACTTGGCATACTCAACCATCTAGACATCTCTAAAATTTCAACCACAGATGTTTTTGTCAATTTTACAAAATAGTCAAGAGTACTAGTCCTTACTTTATTGAAAAAAAATCCAAATCACCAATACAAACACTGACCTTGAGCAATGATTGCCAAATCTTTTCTAAAATCTTATAAAAAAATATCCTCCTAGTCTTATACCTTTCGAAGGTGTTTTAAGCTAGCTCTCCAACTCCCCCCCTCCCCAAAAAAAATCCTTGATCTCCCAAAAATCCTATATTCCTCTTTTTCTTGAATTTTCCCCATGTGGTCTAATATTCTTCGACCTTGGATCCCGAATTAGCCCGACCAATGGAACTCCCCTCCAATTTTTGCCTCTAAGAGGATCTTTCAATAGAAAGGATATTTCTCCGAACTACATAAAAAATGGTGTCGTACTGTAAATGCTTATAGTATGTAAAAATTAGTTAAAACATAGTATATATTAATAAATCTAGATGTGAGTTATAGTGGATAGTAGATTAAATTGAAAGGACTTGGTATAAGAAACTTTAATTTCTTCCTTTACTTATTTTGATTTTGGCAAAAATAAAATAAAATAAAATAAGACCTAAATATTTAGTATGAAGCCTTGCGAGAAAGAAGAAGCCTAAGGATGAAAATCTAAACTAATAGGAGGCTAATTGGGAGGGATGAAAGTAAGGCATAGTCGGATGAAGGCAAGGAATGGAGAACTTCATCCTATTGATCGAATACCATGTTCAATGGACTTTGAGGAGGTTGTCCACGACCTTATTTTATCTCTAATTTTGTCTAATTCTTCATATTCATACAAGAATGTCGTACTTATTATTATAGAGCTGCCTCTTCAAGGATATCAATGCACTTGATGAATAAAAATCTTTACTTTATTATTAGCAACTATGCCTACCAGTCCGGCTCCCACTTACTTTTTTGCTTCAATATATTCATGACATGAAATATAAATTGGAATCAGTAGACTAATATTTCTTTTGAGAAGATACTTCAAAATTTTGCAATTGTGTATCTTTGATGGTGCATCCAAGTTGTTATGCATTGAATGTGCTAATATGTTTTATGGTTTTTGCCTTGAAGTTGTTTAATTTAATTTGGATACACACATAGAATTTTTTTATAATGTATAGTTGATTAATTAAATGGTTTTGTAATTATCTTTCTTCTTCTTTTTTTTTCTCTTTTTTCTTTTTTTCTTTCCTCTAAATATAAGAACTATAATTGAAAGAAGCAATATAAAATTTTAACAAAAAGTCAAGGATTGTTTAGAATGTGGCCTATTATAATTAAATGTAAAATCAAATTTTATTTTCTTTCACTTCATACATAAATGTGGATAATTTAAAATTAATTTATAAAATACTACTAGGTATTAATTAGGAAATATTTTAAATTTATACTTGCAAAAAGTTTAAGAAATTCATTCTTTACCATAAACTCCTATATGTTTTTAAAATAACTCTTATAAGATTTTGAAAAAAAAGTTTTATAAATTACAGATTATCTTCATATTATACTATTTTATATAAAAATAACTACTCAAAATAATATTTTTATCCAAAGTGGTAATGCAATTTTTAGGTTTTTTTTCTTAAATCACATTTTAATCATTTTTTAGTCATAAAAGAAATCTAAGAACCACAAAATTTATTTTGGAACATATTTATACAATTCTACTAGTTTATTGAATGTTGTATGAAAAAATATGCTTTAGTAATAATTAGATTCATAGAATTTAATTATTTATAATAAATTTGTTGAAGGAAAAAAAATTACATGCATAAGAAATGTTTCAAAAATAAAGTTATTTTATCCATATCCAAAACAATATACACAAGTATTGTGATTTTATCAAGCTTAACTTTAAGATTGTTAAAACCTTCATAAACAATTCAAAAAATGCTCTAAGCATTCATTATATAAGACATATACCATGCTACATAAGGCAATGCTTCTTCCTCTCTCTATAGCAAAGAAAAGATAAATTTGATCAATTTCTTCTATCAAAGGTGGTCAACAATATGAAGTTGATCAATTCATTTGGCTATGATGTCAAGCTTGAATATCTCCTCATTTAAAAATTAATCAAAAAATTGAACATATCCAATTCTTCTAGAAATGATGTCAATTGTGAGTAATTACTAATACCAAAAGTAGTCAACTCTTTTAACAATAATGCCAAGCTTGAGCAACTCTACAAACTACAAATATTTCAAGATGTAAGATTACCCAATTACTTTGGCAATGCTATCAAGTTTGAACAATCTCTCATATTCAAGATACTCAAAGTTGTAAAATTAACCAATTCTTTTGATAATTATGTCAATTTTAAGTAATTACTAATATCAAAAATATTCAATAATGGTAGAACTCATAATAGAACAAGTAGAAATTTTGAAATAAAGATGTCAATAAAATTAATTACATCCATATAATCTTAAATTCTAAATTTTTAAATTTAACATACCAAAAGTTAAAATCCTAAAACCAAAGTCAAAGCAATTATATCCTCCAAACTAGGATATTATGTAAGAAAGTGTTTATATTACTAAACTTATCAACCTCAAAAATAGAAAGGTACATTATGTTAAAATTAAAAAGTAAAGGTGTCAAGAAACTAGAAATACTTACATAATTCTAACTTGTAAATTATAAGTTTCAAATCATAAACTTATCATTCACTTTAAAAATTAAACAAATTAGATATTTTATTTGTATGCTTACAATAATCTTCTTGTCTTTATAAATATCTTATCTAGATTTAATTTTATATTTTATACTAACTTGTGAGTTTAATAACTATTGATTTTTTACTTGTTTAAAAAGTATCTTTCTAAAAATGCATTGACCATTCATTTTGACAATGATGTCAAGCTTAAGCACCCTCTTATATCAAAGGTAGTCAAACATGTAAGGTTGTCTAATTTATTTGGTAATGATGTCAAACTTTTGCAATATCTCAAATACAAGGTAGTCAAAGATGTGAGGTTGCCTAATTCATTAAGCAATGATGTCAAGCTTGAGCATCCATTCATACTTAAGGTAGTCAAATATGTGAGGTTGTCCAATTCATTTAGCAATGATGTCAAGCTTTTGCACCCATTCATTTTTAAGCTAGTCAAAGATGTGAGGTTGCCCAATTCATTTGGCAATGATGTCAAGCTTGAGCACATTCTTATATCAAAGGTAGTCAAAGATGTGAGGTTGCCCAATTCAATTGGCAATGATGTCAAGCTTGAGCACCCATTCAATTTTAAGGTAGTCAAAGATGGAGGTTGCCCAATTCATTTGGCAATGATGTCAAGCTTTTGCACCCATTCAATTTTAAGGTAGTCAAAGATGTGAGGTTGTCCAATTCATTTGGCAATGATGTCAAGCTTGAGCATCCAATCATGTGTGAAGTAGTCAAAGAATTGAGGTTGCCCAATTCATTTGGCAATGATGTCAAGCTTGAGCACCCTCTTAAATCAAAGGTAGACAAAGATGTGAGGTTGCCCAATTCATTTGGCAATGATGTCAAGCTTGAGCACCACTCCATATTTAAGGTAGTCAAAGATGTGAGGTTGCCCAATTCATTTGGCAATGATGTCAAGCTTGAGCACCACTCCATATTTAAGGTAGTCAAAGATGTGAGGTTGCCCAATTCATTTGGCAATGATGTCAACCTTGAGCACCACTCCATATTTAAGGTAGTCAAAGATGTGAGGTTGCCCAATTCATTTGGCAATGATGTCAACCTTGAGCACCCTCTTAAATCAAAGGTAGTCAAAGATGTGAGGTTGCCTAATTCATTTAGCAATGATGTCAAGCTTGAGCAATACTCTAAATATAAGGTAGTCAAAGATGTGAGGTTGCCCAATTCATTTGGCAATGATGTCAAGCTTGAGCACCACTCCATATTTAAGGTAGTCAAAGATGTGAGGTTGCCCAATTCATTTGGCAATGATGTAAACCTTGAGCACCCTCTTAAATCAAAGGTAGTCAAAGATGTGAGGTTGCCTAATTCATTTGGCAATGATGTCAAGCTTGAGCAATACTCTAAATATAAGGTAGTCAAAGATGTAAGGTTGCCCAACTTATTTGGCAATGATGTCAAGCTTGAGCACCATTATATATCAATGGTAGTCAAAGATGTGAGGTTGCCCAATTCATTTGGCAATGATGTCAATCTTGGGCAAACTAGTACAAAACATCTTAAGTTGACTAAATGTGTTGTCAACTTCAAAAACCTTCCCAAATCATCTTTGGATGTGACATCACAATCATTACAAATTAATAATCGGAGTGATGAAAAGCATGCACTTTTCATTTCACTAAACTTAAACCCCTTCACATTGTTGCAACACAATCCCTCCAACTATGACATAATATGATTCAAAGACACCACAAAATTAGATTCTTTGCATCAAAAGTCAACTTCATATATACATAAATTTCAATACAATACAAATTAAATAAATCAACTAAGAAAGTTACATCAATATGCATTTCTAACACATATTAATACCAAAATGATACAATTATATTACATCTCCAATCTTCAAACCTTCATTCTTGTTTATCATTATTACTTCCATACATGCTATTTGAATAATGGTCAAGTCCAATACCTTTTCATTAATTCCATCAGACACCTCTTCATTCATATTCCACATTCGTGTGTTCGTATATTCTATTTCTGTTTCAACAATCTTTCTACCCATGTCTCGTAGTTGATCATGCACTCTTATAACTCCATATTTGTGTACTTTTATCAATGATTGGTTAATCAATGTATTTAATGTATATTCCATATCTTCTTTTGCTCTTTTTTCTTCTATGTTGGACCATATTCGCAATGCTCTTTCTTTCAACATGCCTTCCAAAAACACATCATTGTTAAAAAAACAACATATATCCAAAAACATTTTCTTCTCTTCAACTCTCAAGTTATCAAAACTTACTCTCAATATATTCCAAATCTTATAATCACTATTCTTTTCATCTCCATCCAACTCTCTTCCCCTCTTCAATCTTTGAAAAGCTCGCTCCCAACATCTCAATCTCTTTTTATCTCTTAAATATGCACCCATAACTTTCAAACTCAATGGTAGGCCATTGCATGCTTTCACAATCTTTTTGCCAACTTCAACAAGTTCATTAGGCAATTTGCCTTCATGTCCACAAGAATGAGTGATAAACAACCTCAATCTTGTTTCTTCATCAAGTTCTTCAATATTTATTTTACATAGTTCAATACCACAATGCTCCATAACTTCCCCATTTTGAGTTGTGACAATTAATGTACTACCACTCATTGAAAATAAATCATCCATAGGCACAACATCTTCAATTTGATTTTGATTTATTACATTGTCAAAGACTATAATGACTCTTTTTCTAGACAAAAACAACTTCAACATTTTTTGTGATTCTTTCAAATCCTTTGGTTTTGCTTCAACTTTCAATTGTTCTAAGATGTGGCACAGGCTTTGGTAACAATCACTTGTACTTTCATCACACTCAATAAAGCATGAGGCATCATACATATGCTTCACATTATTCAATGTTGTCTTTGCTATTGTAGTCTTGCCTATTCCACCCATTCCAACAAGACACAATGCTTTCACTTTGCTTATACATAAATTTGATATTTGCAATAAGCATTGATTTCTACCAAGCACTTCTTCCTCAACCATATCAACCTACAATAAGGATTAAACAAACAATCAACACAAAGAATAAAGTAAACACTCACAAAGCAAATACTACATTTTAATCTAGAACTTTAAACTAGTAGTCTTTTACCACAACTCACTATTATCACATCATGTAATTTTGAGTACAAATAAAAACCCTAAACAATCAAATCACTTCAATACATTCTTACCTCATTTAAAAAAATTGGTTTTGGAACAAATACTTTTTTGGATAATTGTTGTAACTCTATATTTTCATAACCATTATTCTTTGATATACCATAATATTTTGTTTCTACTACAACAACTCCACTCATAATCTTTTTCTTCAACATTAAAAGTCTTTCACAAATGTTTGCAAACTTTGGTCGATGCAATGGATTTAAGTTCTAACACTCTTTGATAAGCTCCGTCAATTCATTGCAATTTGGAGGTAATTCCGGTCTTTCACCTCTTTCTATTCTTTCTAATATCTCTGTTCTCTTACAATCATCAAATGGATCTCTTTTGGAAAGAATCTTACAACATACCATTGCAAATGAAAACACATCAGCATCAAAAGGGCACATTGTCATCGTTTCATATTTTTTCTTCAATACCTCTGGAGCTATGTAGGAAGTACTACCATAAATATAATTATTCTCTATTGCTTCTGGATTGCTACCAACTTCAATCTTAGATATTCCAAAATCAATCACTTTTACAATAGCATATCGAACAATCTTGTTCATCACTTTCTTCTCCACAACATTAACCAAAATGTAGTCAGGCTTCAAATCACGATGTGCAATGTGCATGTCATGTAAGTAAGACATCCCTCTCGCAATTTGATACATGATATCAATTAAAAATATGTCAGATGTCCCTCCATTTGTTTCCAACATATGCGTTAGACTTGTTTGCATCAATTCCATCCCCAAATAGACATGATCATTCTTCATTTCAAATGAGGAACATCCATTATATTCATTTGTAATACTTTTCATTGCAAAATAATATGATATCAAGTTGGGATGGCTTAGATTAGCTAGGATGTTTGCTTCTTTTACAAAAGAATTCACATACACATTGTTCATCTTTTTGGTTGCACACAAAAGACCATACCACTTTGATTTATACACTTTTCCATAAGATCCTTCACCTATAGGTTTTATAAAATCAACAGTTTCCATATTTAATGATAATTTCAAATCATCCAATTCTCCACCTTCTATGCAATGCAAGTTTCTCACCCTTAATAATAGATGCTTTGCCAATCCACAATTTTCAAAATTTCCTTCTTCATTTAAAAGAATCAATCTTTCATACAAACACCTTTCATCACCTTCTACTTCATCATAGGTTGCAACATGAATAGTATCAAAAACCTTCTCTTCAAACATTTTACCAAAGTCCTTCAAAAGGACATGAGTTGCTACTTTATAACAACACTTCAAGTCCAAAAGTAGTTCTCTAAAAGTCTCTTTGTTCTTCAATTGAATCACTGCTGCTTTGCACCATTTCTTTTTCCCACAATTCTTCACCAATACATAAGCTTTATCCAATGTAATCATCAACTCCCTCAATAAATCCCCATATTTTAATCCATCATTGCTATAACTCATCAAGTAGTCATACACCTTCATAACATGTTCAATCCTCTTGCATAAAATTGTACATTGGTTTTTGTTTAATATGTCTTCTTTTTTCAACAAAACCTTCAATGCTACAATATAGGCTTGACATCCTCTCCAAACATCTCCACCAATACCTTCCATGTTTGATATTGTGTCAATATCTTGCAAACAATCATTAGACTGTTTCATACTAGTTAAGTATCTTTCCTTCCATACACATGGATCAGACCTCAACACCAAAATATATTTCTTGATCAACTCCAAAACATATGCCATACTCACCTGCTCACAAATTATCCAATATTCAACCTGTTCCCATACGTTCACAATTTTACATTAGATTTACTTTCTTAGCTATTCTACACACTCTTGTCTACATTGCTACACCAAGCATATCATCTTCTGTCCTACACAACACATGTATCATTCTAGCAATACCTCTTCAGCTTTAGAGACTTTAGAGGAATGCTTATCTGATGCATTCCTAAGTGTAACCAAGGTGCTCACAGAAGAGAACCTATAATTCACTGCCATAACGCCCATCATGTCACTACGTCTCCTAATGCATTGGCGTACCCATTCCAAATTACATGCAAGATCCTGCGTTTTGTACAAGTAGCTTCGGCACATTTCACTATGATCTCATACATCTGCATAAGCATTTGAAACATGTGAGCGCCCACAACATTCACCTGAAAAGAAAGTGTCTCCAGACGGAGCAGTCGACGCTGGTGTGGACGGTACGCGTATAGGATACCGCACATGCAATGGCGGAAGAGGAAATCTGCTGATAAACAAGCTCCCGGTTAAAAAAATCGTACTCACATCAGTTCCACTTGCGTACTCCTGGAACTCCGTAAAACCGGACGCCGTAATAGTGCTCAATTGTTATGATCTTTCAAAAAAGACAATTGCGCAACTCAACATCATCGATGAGAAACTACGAGCGTGAATGAAGAGTTAACAGTACAACACTCTGGTTGAAACACGCAACAAATTTTGGAAGCCACCCATCCGTGAAATTTCCGAGTACAGATTCCGACCACTCGATGACATCTTCATTACGGACGAGATGCTGATTATGGAACTACCCATGTGAAACGGGAATCAGTACAGTCATTGTTTCTTTCAAGCACCAGTTTATCAACCCAATGAATTACGAAGCCACGAAGGCTTGATATTTCTTGGTGTAAATGGTTAACTAACTTGATTTTCTCGTCCAATCCGAGACAAACTACATAATTGTTTCAATCAATATGGGGAGGGGGGGTGCACCAGTTGAACTGGATATCAAGCACGATAAGCAGTTCTTGCTGAATTGAGCTCCTACCTCATAAAAGATTCAGATTGAATATCACCAGCTCAGAACTTCAATGACTCAGACAACCTAAAATTGATTCAAACCAGAAAGTAGATTGTCGGCAGAAATAATCCATGTTTGCGTTTCCAAATAACATGATGCAGGGATGACCTGAAATGATCTATGACTGCTTTTAAGCTGGGTAGGTATGTAGTTGACAGACATGTAGCTACCCACAGCAACGAAAGTGACACAGTACATATCGATAGACCCTCGTTACCGACAAAAAGTACACTCGCTAAAAATAAAACGATGTTGCATGCAGACCCTCCTAACTAGAAACGAAGTGCTGATGTTATAACGTATCAGCCTACGGTCACTTAAGTTTCAACTCGACCTAAGAATATGCATTTGCAACGTTGGACCTAAGATTTGGGAACAATCAAAGTTGGGAACCATGCGGCACACCAACCCGAGGCTGCCACGAGATCCCCAGAACGCCATGACATCAGGCAAGTGGAGGTGTGTTAAGGAGTTAACAGACGAGGAATATGAGAGAGCAGGTTCGGATGGGAATTGTGAGATCCGGTTCACCGCACTAGAGAGAGGAGGGAGCACTGTGCAGAAACAAAGATCGATTGAGCAAGAGAAGAGAAGAAAGGATGAGACGAGCATACACACATACCTGGGAGGCAGGCAGGCAGAGGAACGGGAGGCGAGGGAAGGGGCAGGTTGCAGTGCAAGTGACGTGGGGGTGGAGATGGCAGCGATACGTTCGTTAGATTGCAGGCATGGGGAAGAGAACGAGTGGCGAGAATCACGAGAGGAATGAAGAAGGAGAAGGGCACGGCAGTGCAGGGGCAGAGCAGGGTTAGGATTAGCTAGGGGGGAGGGAGGGTTAGGGTTAGGGAGGAGGGGCATCTTGGAAGCTGTCAAAGCCGCAAGACCAGGTGTGGAGGCCCAGCAAGTCCAATGATTGATGATGGCATTGATGCATTTCCACCCATCCCAACAAAGTCGTCACCTCGACTTTCCTCACTCGCTCCCTCTTAGCCAATGTTTACGGATATGCATGCATTCAAATATCAAGGTATCAACAAACTTGAAAATGTTTGGTTGTGCTTTTGGACACGAATTTGGATATTTTGATGCAGCTTCAAACACAAAAAAAATCTTTTTGTGAAATATTATTGATGAGAGTTTTTTACATGAAATTTATTCAACGGAGTGGCAAAGAAAGCACTTGATGCACAAGGAGGGGACAAAGAATTGTTACTTGATGGTAAAGAACTTTATTTGGAATACTGATAAGGGATGGTTATTGTTGGAGTTGCGATAGCCACTACAGTTTTAACTTATAGTACAAACAATGAATGTTGAGAAAGTTGTGTGCAAATAATAGATTAATCGAAAACTTTACCTGTGCAAAGTTATTGTCATGTCTTCATTAGCTTTACTCAGTAGAAGTTACTGGCTCTTATAAAGATCTTTTTTGGTTCCTACTTGACATTCTGCAGGTCCTATCATCGAAGAAGTGCATGATGAAGAAGCTGAGAAGTCGATGTCTGGAAACGACACGCAGCCATTAGAAAGTACTGATGATCGAGAAAAGAACATTCCAATATGCCAAATTGTGAAGCGTCTACTGCTACCAGTAACTCTGTTCTGGTAATTCCCAACACAGCTGCTTTTGGTGATACCCTTTCTGCTTTGAAGCAGAATCCTGAGATGTTGACATGAGTTATTTCTTTTCCCTTGTCCTATCCCCTCCCTCCCCCTGTTCCTAATGGTTTTTATTTTGACGTATGTTCAACCTGCAGGATCATTTGCTATAATCACCATTTTTGTCTGATGCACGATTTTTCTTGTTTTGATTCATGTCAATTGACAAAGATCAATGTGTGCTATTAGTTTAAAAAAAGTAATCCATACAAGTAACTTGTGTGCCAATTGTTTTGCCAATTTTCTGGTCAGGAACATGCACTCAGTTTTGTCAACAGTGAATCAGGACATAATTGCTGCAATGAGCAGCCGTCAAATGTCCCCTAAAATGGTGAAATTTGCCACAAATATGATGGAACAGCTGTCTCCTGAAGACATGGAGAGAATGATGAATTTGGCCAGTACACCCCAGATGCCAATGCCCCGGAGGCACTTCTCCAAATACCACAAGACACATCTTCAGCAATTCCAAGTACATCTCAATATGCTTCAGTCAAGGCCACATCTGGACTCCAAATCACACCAGATGCAAGCTTCAGATCTGGAGTTCGGACACTTGGTACTAATATACCTAGCATGGAAGACTTTAGTCCCGAAATGAAGGAACACATGAGGAAGCAGATGAAGGACCCAGCAATGAAGCAGGTGTGTGTTTGGTTGATCTAGTACAAGATTGATACTGACCCACTTTGATCCTATTACTTAATTATTTTCGCACATGGGCTTTTTTTATTATTAATATCCCTAAAATTTCTTATTTATTAAGGTTGGCTCTTGTATTTTTATTAATTTTAGTACTCCATGGTATGGAAACATGGTAGTAGGTAGTATAAAGTGTCATTTTGCAGGTGATGGCTGAAATGACACCTGAAATGATGACCAGCATGAGTGAGCAACTTGGCATGAAACTTAGTCACAAGCCCAGCAAGCCAGTTTGAGCCCAGAGACACTTGAACAAATCGTAAGTATGTTCTTTTCTTTCATTGCCTGTTAGGCTTGCTGCTCTAGTATATATTATGTTGGGCTATTGTATAATGATCTGTTCAATTTACATGATTTCTCTTCATGACATTGATGGGTTATTTGTGCAGATGCTATGGGCTGAAAAGGCCCAAAAGACAACCCACCAAGCACGATCCACCAAGAATTGGTTATTAAGAAGATCAGGCTTGATACTATCTTTAGTAATTTTAGTAGTTGCAGTTATTTTGAAACAATTAGGTTACATTGGTTCCTAACTGAACTTGCCCATTTCCAGCTTCTTTAACTCTCAGTTGGCATTCTTATAAAGTTGACAGTGTGCTCACATTGCATAGTTTAAGGAAGGTGAACATGCAACTGCTAAGTGGAGTCTAACTCTACTAAAGTTAGTGGTAACCACCAACTTCATTGTTATCAAGAAAACAGATTGAGGGTTGATTGAAATTCTAAAATATTGAATTGAATTGAACAAAATTCTACTCAGAATTGTTTCTATGATAGTTGGTTCTGAATATGTAGAGTTCTTCAATTGCTTATTCTATTTTGATACTCACATGGATGTGCTTAGGCACAATGTACCTTTCATGACTTTAAATTGGAAAAAACTGAGTATGAGGGTTCAGGGATTAGTTAAATGAGGTATTTATGCCATTTCTTATGCCATCATCCCAACTAAGTACATTACGCTGAAATGGGCATGATAATAAAACAATTAATAAATTAGACTCCATATAAACTAAAAGTTCCAATCATGATTAAGGAATAGGTAGATTGATAACTACTTGAAAAGACATACTATTTACCTATCTAATCAGATGCATAATTGACCTCAAACCATATATTTCAAAACTGAAATAGTAAATAAGCACTGTGTTGGAATAAGCAACATACAACCATGGACCAAAACTATACAAAAGATTTCTATGTACATTATATGAATATTGAGCTCATAGCCACTGAAAGGGATGGCAGACCTGCCTAGGAACATAATAATATGCATTACAATTCTATAAAGAGCAACAATAATAGGGAAAGCTAATGTACTCTTAGAGGATGACTGATTGCATATGTCCCGATATGCCACTGTTTCGGTTGGAAAAACTTCTTCAACTTCTTCCAGCAGATGCTTCCATAGTGCATGAAATTTCAAAAGCCACAGTTGAGCCAATTTTTCAATATATGTACTACCAAAATATAGATTAAGAGATATCTCCAAAGTAAAGAAATGAACCAATCTTAATGTAGAACACCTCCTACATCTGAAACCAAGTCCTTGAACCATATACAATACTCAATGCATTTACTTACCTTAGAGGAATCCACCTTGCCTTTTGATGTTTGATTCTTTTGAATACAACCATTTAGTAGATGCTTTGTATGCTCATCAGGGTTCCAGCCTTCATCTATGAAGCTGCTCATATTCAGCCAACCATTACAAATGTTTAAAAACTCAACATAGCTATAAGTAATGAAAGATCCATAAAACTTCAACCATATTACTGTAGAACTCAACCACAAAGAAGATCCCATATCAATGTCACCAAGTCAATTAATTAGTTCTGGCATTTTCATTCATACAGCCAATTCAGTAAAATAGCAAAACCTAAGTTCCTGCCGTAAAGAGACCAATTTGTAGTCGAGAATGAAACCGTGATTGAAAATTGTTTAAGAACCATTGCTTAAACAGATTACTAAATTAATTGATTTACCAAAACAATTAATTGGGTATTTAGTAATTCTGGGTAAACAAAGAAATCTTACACATGCAATGAACAAAATCTAAAGCAAAAACTTTCAAAGCCAGAATTACCTCGATGGTTTACTATGAATTATGTTCTGAATCATGAAAAAAATTAAAGCTACATACAAATCAATTCAGGCAGTAACGTGTCCACTTACTTCAAGACTTCCAATGGAATCTGAATGTGACTATGATTTATTATTATTATTATTATTATTATTTGTAATTCTAGAATTTTCTACAAATAATACTAAAATAACATTTATCTAATTTAGGAAACTTTTGTTTGATTCCTATAATTCCAAAAATATTTTGTCTTTGCACAATTCGTTTTGTAAGTATTTTATTTAGAGAAAAAACATGTTTTCTTTTGTAAATTCAGTTACATATCAAGGAAAAAGCATGAAGATACTATTATTATTATTCTGGACAAGGGTGATAAGACTAACCATTGACCTTCTCAAGGGCCAAACATCCCTTGTTGTTGGATGTTAATGTGATCCCTCAATTGTAATACATCAATAATGTAATAGAACATATAGATACATATTGTAGGTTCTTATCAATATTTACATCATTCTTCTCTGGATACATTCTTAGATATAGATTAATATTGTTTTAACTTTGGCTACAGTATATATATTTGTATTTTCTCAACAAAAAGAAGACCATTTTTATATTCTCTATTATGTTTTTATTCTTATTTTCAAAATAATTAATAATTTTTGTTTCATAATCTTAGGAAAAAAAATGGTATTTAAAAAAAGAAAAAAGAAAAAAGAAAAAAGAGTGTATATTTCAAATTTAAGTTTTAAAACTTATTTGTATTTTTTGTTAGCAATTTTTATATAAAGTTGATATTGTTTCTTGTATGTTTAGACATAAGTAACAAGTATTTGACATTGAAAATTAAATCATGATTAAATCATATTGATACACCACCATATTTTGAAGTAATTCCAATTGTATCAACATTTAAACTTAAAATTCAAAATACATCTTACTACAACTAAAGCATATCAATTTATTAATCTGAGAAAAAACATTGTTATCAGTGAATATGTTGCTTTCAATTGTTATCAAGGAGAAATTTTACAACATTCAATTTTGTCTGTATTGATTGATACACCTTCATTAGGGCATGTATCTTTTATGTCCATTGATGAAGAAGAATAAACACACCACAGTATATCCAAATGAAAAAGAAGCATCACTTGTATTTTCTTTTATTTATTTAATAACGAAAAGTTATTTCTTTTTATTTATTTATACTTTTTAATAGTATGAGAGTGTGTGTGCATAAATATATAGACCAATAGATTGATATGTATTGAGAGAGGAATCAGATAATAACAAGATGATGAGGAGAGAGAGTTATTGTTGCGAAGAAGTCCCTGAATGATCCCAGATGACCATGACAAGGACGATGATCCCTATCCCCGTGCCCAACTTTATGGCGGGATAGCAGACGTGGACGATGACGAGGCATGCTGAGTAGCGACACGCCAGCATCCAGCTGTCACGATGGGTCCTACCCAATGCTGGGAGACCACGTCATCATTGCCTGTTTTTGAAGGGAAAGGGCGGAAGGAATGTTGCATTGGGGTCCTAATTTGGGGTTTTCGGATCTTCTAGAATCTTTGATCCTATTCATCAATCGCCAGAAGCAGCAGAAGAAGGTGAAGAAAGTTTGGCTTGGATTTGCTTGGCTCGGCTTGACTTGGCTTGACTTGGCTTGACTTGGCTTGGTGTGGTGGTGCCGACTGAGGGCGGGTCCTCGCAGCTTTTGATGCTTGGGAAATTTGATCACCGCATTCCGGGTAACACTCCATGTGGCTGCTCACCCTAACCCGACTTTCCTAGAATTTCTGTTATTGCGGGTCCGTGGCGACTTTTCCTCTGCGCCGACGAGAAGGGACTTGAATTTTTTCCATGGTTTACACTGGTAAACGGTGGCGAAGGATGTAATGGGGGAAGCTGGCATCCCGAGTAGAGGTACACTGCGTGGGAATTGGTGCTGTAAATGAGAAATGCTGTTGAATTAATTGTGTTGAAGGATTCTTCAGGCGGTTTGAAACTTGATCGAGGTGAGGAGGACTGATGGATGGATGCGACTGGAGTCCGTTTTATTGTGACGAAGGAATGATGAATGGAATGTTCTAGACAAAGCAGGTATGGCTGTCTCATTCGTTAATGAAATGTTGATGATTGAAGGCTGATTGGAATTGTGATCACGAAAATCCTATTTTCTCTTTCTTCGATTCTCTGCTGCGTTCGTTGTTTGCATTTGTGAATTTTTAGCGGGAAATGGTCAAGGACGAACGTGATGGTTTGTGCGTAGTCTTGTACGTTTATGTCATTTGTGGTGAAGAACAATTGATGCGGTTACATTGGCTGTTACCTCCAGCCACAGAAATTGCTGATTCATGGATCACTGTACTTTCTGGACCTTCTTAACACACATCTGCGTGGATATTTGTGCATACTATCCGACTAGGAATGCCTTGAAGAAGTCCACCTCTCCCGTCTTTTCCGTAATGACATCCCGTCATAGTTCTCTTGAAGAAGCTATTGAAATCCTGATATTTATTTAGAATGAAGGCATTATATTACAATACTATTGTCTTTTACTTGCACGCAGAGATGAACACCTACGGGACAAAAAAGCCGTTGTGATTTGCTATTGGCAAGACCTGCATTGCCTAACGAGGCAGACATGTACCATACACTCTATGTCAAGAAAATTCATGAATGTATTTCCTCGGGAAAGAGACGGGCCGAGGGAGGGAGGGTGGAGGTGATGAGGAAACGAGGAAGGAGGGAGACTGTTCCAGACAGTTGAGGAGCAGGTGGGATGGTGGAACGGGTACAGCAGAAAGAACCACGCGGACGTAGCAATTGTATGGGGCAACGATTTCAGATGGTGGACATGATATTTTCCGAAAGGGCACATTACTGCTTCACCTCCTTCGCATAGTTCAATCACTGTTTGATCTTGTGAAATACGTTGACTTAGTAACTTAGGAGTCCCTGCAGGATTGTTTGTGTGATGGGAGCAATTTTCATATTTTTGTATAGATCTTTTTTTTTTTGGGTTTTCTCCGTGAAATTTAGCTTCTAATCCTCAACGTCGAATCGATATCTTGCATTTGTATGTAGAGCCGGCGTAGTGTCCTCATGGAAACCTTGTAGATAAGTTTTCAAGTCACACGGTGTGCATAGAGAATCGGTGTATCATCTTCAGAAGGTTAGTGCAGAGTGCTCTAGCTTGATTCAAATTTTGTCATCTGGAATTTTATCTCATGGTTTTCCCAGAGATTGTCTTTGGAGTATAACTTGATGGCTGCATCCATGTTCTTCTTTACACTGGAAGGACAATGAACCGCCAGTGCCCACTCAATAGAATGGAAGGTTTTCTGCACAGTTTTGGATTAAACCAGAAAACTATGTGTACAGTATGCTTCCCACTAGATTTCTAAGTTTTTTTTTGTTTCATTTTTGTCTATATATATATATATATATATATACATAAATATATGTGTGAGTGTGTAATCAAACATTTACGAAAGAATCTTTCACAAATTGTAGAAAAACACTTCATAATTCTATATATTTATCATTCCTATTTAAAGTAATAATTTTTCATGTTCTGTTTGTATTGAATTCTTTGTAACTTAATTTTGGATTAGTTAATGTCACCAATAACCACACTAAAGTTCTTCAAGCATCCATTCAATCTCTTCAGAAAAAAGTACAATCAGTTCATTGTAAATTTGACATTTTAAGAGATATGGCCTTAATTGTGGATAGTTCCTAATAAATCACCAAATTGGAAACACCTCATGCGGGAAACACGACATCATAAAACATGCAGATGTAAAATCCTGATTAAGACAAACATTAGAACTAAGCATATCTAAGACTCATTTTAGCATGAGCGTAATTAGATAAAAATAATGGAACACTCTTCAGTAATTCAGAATTACGGCATCACCATCACAAATTAGATACTTTGGACGGAGTGCAACGATATTTTGGACAAGTGGCATCTCCTCCAACGAGTCTCCAATGGTGAGCAGTCGGAGCAACGGAGACCAGGAACGAGAACAGTTCCATAGTCGGTCGGGCTCGTTCATCGACAGAACCATCACCCGTCGTCGGTCGTTGAGCCGCGTCCACTCCCCCGGAGCACTCGGTGGGCAGAAGCGAAAGATCTCAGTCAGAGGCTTCAGAAGAATCGTCCCTAAACCGACCATCATGCATGAGACGTTAACCCCCCTCCCTGCTTCGGATGTATGCTTGCACCAGCATTCACACCTTCGATGATGTGGTATTGATTCCATTGCTGTTTGTGTTGCCAAGTCTCCTTCGGTTAGGGTTAGGGAGGAGGGGCATCATAAATCTGCATCATCCTTTGTTGCATGAATCTGCTACACTGCATTGCATTGCATTTTGACCCATCATGTTTGTCCTTCTGTAATCTCATTAATGTCCCTCCACAATGAGCACATATTGCATTGTAAGCCCAACTCAGAACACTGTGTGCTTTCTACAGATTTTTAGGATTTAAGAAAAGACTAGTTGTTTTCTTCAAAAAATGTGGTTAGCATAGAGTCCTTTCTAGCTACTTTCAAGTTATTATTATGAAAACAGCTGTTTCCTTTGAAATAAAAATGTCTATATTTTTATTTTTAATATTTAGTATTTAAATTTTCATTTGTTTTTATGTTTGGTGATATATATATACATATATATTTTTATTTGTTTTTATGTTTGGTGATATATATATATTTCTCACTCTAAGTTTATACAAACATTTTTGATTTTGGGACAATCTCATTTTATTTTAAACAGGAAAAAACTCTATTTCACATCTATATAATTTTTAACTTAAACTAACAAATAAAATATTTATTTATATGCTTTTTGATATTTATAAAAATATATACTAATTGTATAAAATAACGCAAATAAGTATTGTTAGCTCTTTGAAAATCTTCTTAGTTACATAAAAGTAAATAAGATTAAATATTTTATATTTTAGAGAAAAAATTGCTTAAATGTTCTTGCTATAGAAGAACAAAACATATATCCATCTCATCTTATTTGTATCAACTTCTGGCTAAATGTTTGTATGTCTTTTGCAAGGAATTTGTAATATGACAGAATTTTATATTGTTGTATTCATATTATCTTATTTAAAGTATATATTTTTCTGAAATCTAAAATACCTTCAACATACCTAAATTTGACAATCATGAGAATAATCTTAAAAATAACCAATTGGTAGGAAATGCTTGACCATTTTACTTAGATTTGATTTTCTGGAATAGTAATAAACTCAGCTTACTCCAGTTGTCTTTGTTTTCAAAATATTGTTTGTGAGATAATAGAATAAAAAAATTTATTATTATTATTATTATTATTCTTTCATGTGCCTGCTCTGTACTTCTACAAACAATTGTTTCTTCAAAGATTTTGTTTTATACTATCTAATTATCTAAGTGTATTTTGCAAAAACAACTGGCACTATATTCACTTATACATATATGCATATATATATATATATATATATGTGTGTGCGTGTGTGTATGTATATATATATATATATATATATATATATATTACTTCACAAAAATTAATTTGATAACTAGGGCCCCTCTACTTATTATTAACTTTTTAATTTTTTTTTAAGAACAACTATAAATTTATAGAAATTGGTATAAATCCTGGTTTAGCAGAGTAATGATATATATCTATATCTATATCTATATATATGAATGTTTGTGTGCTTGATTTTAATAAAATAACCTAAATATAATTGATTAAGAAATAAATAAAAAATAAAATAATAACAAAGACTAAATTACTTAAATACCAAGCAATCAATATGTGGATTATTCTAGTTTTGAATTCTAATTTAATGTATGCATCAGTTTTACTATTTTATCAATATTTTACAGATTGTATGAATTTAAAATTTTAAAGAATAACTCAGCATAATTTGGAAAAAAAATTGAAGACTTCTGAACTGTCATTGAACTTTAATGTAGTATGTCTGGGTCTGTATTGTTTTTAAATTTTTTGAAGGTTGTATATTAGATTGTGTATAGTTTTTTCAGAGTTATTTTCAATAAATAGATAATATTTATATGGTGATAATTTTTAAATCTTAATTTGAAGTTATTTGTATGAAATGTAAAAAAAGACTATACACGTGTTCATGTAGGTGACTTATAAATTTGAATACTGGAATAGAAGATAATCTGCTTCTTGTTTACGTTGGTTCGTTAAGTATCTTGATCCTTTTGTTGTTTTACTAAAAACAATACTTTTAAGCAGTATTTTCAAAAAACATCTAAATCAAAACTGAAGAAATATGATGTCTCTATCTTTAATATTGGAATGTACTGTTAATGTTAAAAAAATGAATGCTACAGTATTGTGGGTTTATAAACTCATTATTTTAACATAATGTTTTGATGTCATTCTTGTTATTAAAACATTATGGTTCTCCAATACCAGTTGTATTGCTGAGTAGAATTCAATTTTAAGTCCAGGCTTATTAACTTGTTAAAAGAAGCTCCATTCTTTCTTAGTTTCTTTTTGAAATAAGGCTTACCAATCAACCAAATAGGATAGCCTTATATTTACTTTTCAAATTGTTTTAATCCTAAAGTGTGCTACAATTATATATTAATTTATAAAGTTTTTGCTTTTCAAGATTTAACCCCAAATACTTAATTACACCACCACACCAATATTCGCAGGCCATTCCATGTGCCCTTTCATATCTCTAATAATGAGTGTATTATTTGTTTTATTTGATGATTATTGTAGTGGCTTTTGTTAAGGAAAAGTATAAAAGAATAAAATGATTCATGTACCCATTCGAGAGACTCCTAAATAAGTGATGTTGATCGAAAACATTATCATTTTGCTGCAAAGTAAATCAAATGTTGGACTTAAGACATCCTTGACTTCAATTCCTTCTTGATATTCACAATCCATGTCCATCTGGCATATTCTTGATGTAAAAATCACTATATAATGTTGCATCTTCATGTTCACATGATGTTTCAGTGAGCACTGTGAGACCCAAAAATTCACAGGAGAAACTTGTTAACCATCTCAATGAATTCAAATCGAAGAAAAGAAACACCAAATTTCTAGCATGAAAAAGAATCAAGCAAGTACCAACTTAGTGCACAATTTGTGTCTCCGCTTCTACAAACCTATCTCCAAATTCATCGATTCTAAGCATCAATCCTTCTACTGTGCCTATTTTTGTTGTTCAAAACCATCTGTGCGTGTCTATTAAACCTAGTGCAAGAGGTCCTTTAGACTCATTATGAAATAGAGTGGGAGGTTTTCCTCGATTTTCTTTGATGGATTCAGTTTGAAATCATTCATATTCTCTTAATTAGGAGTTACATGGTAATATCTTATAGGACCTCCAAAACATGTTGACTTTACAAGATATGTATCTTAATTTGTAAGGTAAGTGTTTTATATATGTGCCACAAACTACCAACACGTGGTTATTCCACAAGCTACCAACACATGATTATTCCACAAGCTACCAACACATGATTATTCCACAAGCTACCAATATATGGTTAACTTGTTGATTAAGTTTTTAACCTATTATTTGATTAAATTGCCATAAATATAAACCAAGAGATAACAAAATATCAAGTCAATAGTTTTGATATTACAAATCTTATGGCTATGCTTTTTCAACAATGTGGATGAATCAAATTAAAGAATAATATTAAAAACTATTACTACAAGCAACAAGAATGTAGAATACTAAGAGCTAACATGTTCTTAACAAATTCTTTAATTAGTATAGACATATTCTTGTTTTGATGCTCACTTAGTCAATTACAATTGCTATACAATTTCATAGATCTAAATTATTGAAGAGCCTTGAATATTATACCTAACAGCTAAAAAGATAACAATAATTTTTTATTAGCATTGCTAATTCTAATCAACTTGCTAGTAACTTTGAATACTTGAAAATTTTAGGATATTACGCATTTGCTACTTCAGTGAAAAATGGTCATATTAATTAAGAGAAGATACATTGATGAGAATAAAAATGTATTATCATTAGAAGCATGAACCTTAGAATGCTACAAGACCACTGTCAAGTACAATGATACCAAGAGTATTTTCATGCACAATTATAGCAACAAGTTGCTGATAATAATAAATTTATCATAATTGAGCTCTTAAGTGACCTCTATTGGAGATGCTAATTGTAAGCTATGGAAGATAAAATCATGATTAAAGCTTTATGTGATTGAGATTCTTCCTACCTTGACTAGCTAACCATATTCAAGTTTGTATAATAAAAGTAAAAGTATGATTCTTCCTTAAAACCTAACTTAACTGCTCCCACATGTCTCTTCTCA